ATAAGTTAAAATATGATTCGAATTGAATTCATTTCAATTTGGAACCGATAAATCCCGTTAGTGTTAACGAATCCTTTATAAAATTGTTAAATATTACTTATTACAAAATTTAATGATTTTTAGAATAATTGAATATTTATACAAAGAAATTTCAAGCTGCATTGAAAAATTTATCTCTTGTAATAAAGAAAAAATTAGTCAGTTGTGGTTTTGACTTCAACTTAAAAGTCTCGAACTATATTCTATTTCGAAGAATTTATCAAAACGTTTGATCAATTTTATTGAGCCTTCGTCTGTTTAATACACAAAATTTATAATTTAAATTTTGTGTATTAAACAGACTTAAGATTTAATATTTTACTCAATACTCGTATTTTGAAAATTTGCTACATATTATATAATTTTTACCATATACAACATTGTAATACAAAGAAACATTTAATTTTGAAGTGCATTTTTATATGTAATCATATGTATAATTATGTATACTTATGCTTGTTATCTTATATGAACACGTGCCATCTAATAATCCTGAACTCAATTGCATTTATAAAAAATAAAAGTATAAAAAGACGGAAAAAACCAAATGAAATTTTTATATTGTATATAAAAATTTTATAATTTTATATAAATGGGTAAACATTACATATTGCGTAATGAAATGAAAAAAAAATGAAAATCTTAAAAAAAAATATATATAAACAAAAAAAAAAACTAGTAAACCCAGTTTAATTCAAACTCTATCACAGCACCGCACATGCCTGCATTCAATTTTAATTTTCTTTTCTTTAAACCGATATACTTATTGCTTGCATATGACGACGATACGATGAAAGAATGTAGGTTAACGATTTTATGCAATTTTTTTTTCATATAATAAAGTTGAAATAAGAAAAATTGAACCTAGAGAAAACTAGTTATTTTTCTTATTTTCTTTTTTTTTTTTTATTTGTCGCAAGAATTACTAAGAAAATTGTATATTAAAGCTATACATAAAATGCAAATATGTACATGTATATATCTATGAATCCATATATATATACATATACACATTATATTATATGGAAAATGCAGTTAGAAGAGCAATAATGGTAAAGAATGCAGCAAACAAGTAATGTCAGTACCATCAACATCGCAAATGGCAACAGCAATAATGCGATATTATTTAAGTTTGTAATTAAACAAAAGAGATTCTTACTATATGATATTTCAAAATTAAGCGGATAAAATGGTGGTAAACACAATATATGATGTGAATAGAATACAATTCATATTCAATGTGAAAAAGGAAATAAAAATGAAGATCAAGTGAAAATGAATTTAATAGAAAGGAAAAAAAAACAAATAAAAATGGGATATATAGAGCAAACTGGTTAATTTTAAACTTTCATAATTCTATTTGCAATACTCTAAATGTACATTAAAGAACTTTAATTGTAACCTCATAAAAGGAAGCGTTATCATCATATATTTTTATTTTTTTTTTATATAAAAATTATCATTTTAATTATAGAGTTATTTAAGATTGTGTGTAATTTCAATATTAAAAGAGAAATTATTTGTTTATGTACAGGGTGGACACACATATTTTAAATTAAAAATTTAATATATTGATTATAAATCAATTATTAAATTGTTATAAAATGATATTTATTTAAATGATTTTTGATTAACATTAAATATTTGTTTTTTTTTTTCAATTAGTTTTTAATTTTAAATTATCTGTTAATATTGAGCAAAGACATTGTATCGGGCAATTTGAATTTGTTCTGGTCCTTTTGAAATATTACGTTATAATTTTCCTTAATGCAAACTGAAAAAGAAAAATTTTTTATGTCTATATTAAAGAAATATAAATATAACTATACAGAAAAACCCTTTTTACATCATACTGACTTAAAGACATAAAATTTAATTTCAATTGCATAATTATTAAAAAAATATTGTTAAATAAAATATAAAAATATATTATTCTTGCGAAACAGGAATTTGCCAAATCCAATGTTAATGATCCATTTGTAATTTATTCATCTTCCAAGTATTAATGAGTAATGACATGAGAGACGTCAGACATGTCTCTATAAAAGTACAATATTTTTAATGTCGTTCTATGGATATAACAACTGCTCATAGTCAATTTCCGAGTCAACAACATTGATTTGAGTTTTTAATTTCAATTTAAAATTTCAATCGAATAATTAAAATTTAAGGCTTTCGTTTTTTTTATAAATTAATGGCTTATTTATTTTTGTGCAAGTAATTAAAAAATTTATTGTGTAATCAGGACATTGGTTTTCAATAACAGTTAAGCAGATACAATTATAGTTATACTATATATGCTGAAATTAAATGTACAGTTGCATGAAGAAATTTCCATTAAGTTAAATTATTAGTATAATAAGCACATTCTTATTAATTTCTCAACTATGATGTTGTATTAGTAAAATTCAAAATTTAATTAGTGCAATAAGCACAATCCTACAAATATATATGTTCTTGTTATTGTGTGTTTCAATAATAGATTGTATGTAGCAATCAATGTAAACAAAACAAATACTTAGTAATCATGTGAATTACAGTATAAGCAATGTAGAGAACATTTCATCGGCAATTTCTTTATGCCTCTGTAGCTCAGTTGGTAGAGCTTCCGCCTAGAAAGCGGTAGGTCACTGGTTCGAGTCCAGTTCGCGGAGAAAAATTTTTTAATTAATTTTTCTGCCTTTAACTCGTTCCTTTGATTACGTCATCAATCTGTTCTGCAGTTGCATGCAGTGGTCGAAGTGGGATACTCAAAGTGGTGGGATGGTAAAAAAAAAAAAGTATTATTTTAGTTATTTTTTAAAAAAGTAACTAAACAAAATTTACCAAACTTTGGAAGTAAACTAACGAGAATATTTATATTTAAAATTAAATCAACTAAAAATTGAATCAAAAACTGTGCAAATTTTGAACAAAGAAATGCATAGACTACTATGTAGTATCGAAAATTTCATTAATAGAAAAAAATTATACGTTACTATTTGAAATTGGTCTTATTTAAAATTACACATATTTAATTTTTTGTTAAAAAAATTTTTAAAATTCATTAGAAAATTTTCTTAAATTTTAAAAAACATGTTCCGGAACGCATTTTTCTCTCCTATTAAGTAGTGGAATGGATTTCCAATTAATTAAAAGTACTGGGATGGCATCCCACTCCATCCCGCCTCACTTCGAGCACTGGTTGCATGAAGAAATTTCCATTAAGTTAAATGTACAGGAGACTTTAAAAACTGTTAGCAGAAACAGAGCTAAAAAGATAAACCTTCAGCATTTTTATTAAATTTATTAAGGTACAGAAAATATGAAGGTCGAAATTGTAGTCGTTTACCCTATATATTGCTGTAAATGTATTATATATTTTAGAAAAACATTGATGCAAACAATTTTCGTTATATTGCAACCGGTAGAAAAACGGATCGTCCTAATGCCAATACATTTGTAATTATGTAATTTACAATTTTTTACAATATACGCAACACAACACAATATATTATTATATAACCGCATACTGACAGTAATTTAGAGTGCATATACGTAACATGCGTATAATAATAGAAAAAAACATAATAAATGTGTGTATATACTCAGTTATATATAACATAAATATATCGTATAAATATTTATACTTAATTAATTGGATCTACAACCTACAAAAGCAAATATAAAAAAATGATAAATTTTGCACATACATAAAAGGAAAAATTTGTACATAAATGAGAGACCAGTTTAACAGGATTTTAATAAAACATTTGTAGCATATACGTTTATAATTTAAAATATATAAACTAAATCCTAAGATATGTAATGAAATTCAGTTTCTTTATATGAATTATTCTTTTTACTTTTACTAGTCATCTAGACTAGCAAAAATTACTTTCAATTTTATTATTGAATCAGTGAAACGTAAACACTATATATGTACGTATAGTTAACGGATTAATAATTGTTGTAATTTAAAATACATTCAATATAATTAGAAATCATATTCTATGGAATATAAAAGATTTAAAATTATAAATTAATATTTTAAATGAAATTGATGAATTCAGTTTATCAATGCAATAAATCTGTTTTCAATATAATAGGTTTGCAGAATATATTATTCCCTACATATTTTATTTTCTTTTACATAACCTAATTATATAATATAAGTACATAATATGCATCATATACTTATACTAACTCAGTATTCAGTATAAAAAGAAACCTATGAAATTCAAATAATTGATTAATTATTTATTATTAATTACTGAACCATGACTACATTGAGTATGAATAACGACAATAATGAATAAAAAAAATTTTTAATTTAATTTAGATATTTTACGTATTTATTTAATAAATCAGAACGAATTTCAAGGTACATATATATAGTATAATAAGTTTCAGCAAAAAAATCTAAATGGGGATTTGAAATTTATAATAGAAATCTGAGAAATTCACATATGTAAGTGCGAATGACTTTTTACTAGAAAAAAGCCCATTTCTCTTAACGAAATAGTTATAGGCCTTAAAATTCCTATCATATAACTCTTATAATATATTCGTACGAGTATTACAGAGTTGGTCAGAGTTAGCTAAATATATTTATGAAACATATAAAATATTTTATAAAATAAATGAAACTTTGAACAAGTTGGAATATCTGCTTAAATTTACCTACTTATATCATGCTTATTTTTAAAGCAAACGTGTGCTATTAAAAGTAATTTTTTAATTAAAAACTCGTAAAATGTGTTAGTTGAATTAAAAAACTCTTTACAAGAATTTATCTTAATAAAATGGAAATATATTACAATAAGTACAAAATGAATTTCAATTTAATTTGTAAAAATCGCGAATTCAACCTACATTTAATAATCTGACCACTTCTTTTAAAATTGTAAGAAATTTTATAAAACTTTTTGCAGTTTTGTCCTCTTTTTTTCAAAATTTAATTTTATATTCAGTTCAAGAACCACCAGCAAGCAACATGTTAAATTATTATTGTTTCATTTGTATATTGTCATCTCAGTGTTGGTAAACATTTTTTAACTTTGTATGCAAGACAAAATGCCCACAATATACATTAACAAATATAATATATGTATGTATGTATATGCACAAATTATATATTAACTTTCCCCTCATTCTTGTTAATTTTATTTTAATTGATGAAATTACAAAAAATAAAAGACACTAACAGTTGAAGAAAATTTATTTGGTATATATACTCGTATATATATGTTAACCACATATTATGTACAGCCGCGTGTATGTAAGTATGTACATATACATTTTGTTACAATTGGTCTATTATGCAAATTAAGACAATACCATAAGCATAGGGGATATTATTATTTGCAAAGTTATAGACTTCTAAAGTTAAATGCAATAATAATAAAAGAAATATAAAATTCAATAAAATTTTTAATAAAGAATTTTATTCTGCACATTATTTATAAAAAGAAATTTTTTTCTTTCATAGTGTCACAAAAATTGTATCCAGTAAATGAAATGGCTTATTTTTTATGTGATTTGGTCGTTTTAAACTGTTGATTGCGTTGAACTTTACATTCTCTTATAACTATAAATTTAAATGAAGAGAGAAAGAATTTATTTCTGTGTTAAAGAGGCTTACAAATTGAACGTAGACTTCAATACAAGTTACACAGTGTAAAAGCGCGAATTATTCCATATGTCACGCGTCCATTTTAAATACTATTTGTACACTAATATACAAAAATATTTTTATAAATCTTTTTACTTTTTTATAACTCAACATAACTAAATCATAAAAAACCATATTTCTAAATGTTTTTATTTCAAAGTGAATTGGTTAAATAACTATAGAAATTATATATTTTTTATTTATTTGTTTAAAGCATAGGTATTTCATACGGGTTAACTTAAAGAGCACCTAATGCCCGATGTTTTAATGTTTATTTATTCTGACCAGCTACTTCTACGTATAACATTAATTCAATTTCAATAATGCAAAAAAAAAATTAAAATATTTTTTCGGATTATGCACTTAATGAAATTAAAGTTACAACACTTTTGAATAATTCGAGAGGTAGCTATGTACGTCAAACATTATTTCAGTTGCATAAACAATTAAATCATATTCAATAGACACAAGAATATTGGCTTGGTATATCAATTCATTTCAACAGCACATTTATATTATAATACATATATGTATATATATACCTTGATTCATGTTTATTCAGTAAAATATATTTTGCGATGTCTTCGAATTTTAGATGAATAACACTTACCTGAAAAAAATAAAAAAAAAATAAAACATTCATTAAAATATAAATTATTTTCAAATGTAACTTTTTATGAGAATTTTAAAATAAATTTTAATTTATTTTTCAATTTATTCAATTTTATTCAATTTAATATTTGTTATTCAACTGATTTCATTTTCAAATTTAATCAATATTATACTATGTAATTCAGATTTAAATAATTTTATTAAATCTGATTAAGTTATATGTAATGTATGTATAAGTATACAGATATTGAAACGCATCAGTTTTTGTAAATGATTTTTAATCGCAATGTTTTAACAACATACTGATATAATATTTAAATTCATTCCATAGATCTACAAATTTTATCAAAGTTTTGGGTAAATGCCATAGAAAGACATTAAAGTCATTAATATTTTAATAAATTTTAAAATTGAAAATCTACTTTCAAAATATGTGATTTTAAAAAATTCCAAGAAAGAAAACTAGGTGAAATTTTTTATTATAAAACCACACTTATGCATTACTAATTATAATAAACCTCAATATTTGCGTTATAATTTTAACACATAATTTGTAGCTTTTACTGTAATTTTAGTAAGCATATAAAATTTTTCAACAACTTACTCCCTACACTTTCCTATACTTCCTAAACTTACTTATTGTATGCAATACTCTCACTTTAAATTTCCACCCTACTTATATATAACAACAAAATATTAGCAATTAATATTGCAAATTTGACAGGGTAAAGCATTATTGCAGTTTCATTCCTTTTTTTATACTTTTTTAGTTTAATTTTTTAGAAATTTCTGTTTAATTATATAAATGAAGGCAACAAGAAACAACTTTACCACAGCAGAGCAACATTTGTTATTACAAATTTATTAAAGAATAAAGGATATGAACAGCATGCATTTAAATTATAATGCTAAAGTATTAAATATAACAGATATGAGTAATTACATTTCTTCTAAATATATATATATATATATATACATATATTATGTATATAATATTATGTATATAATATATATATATATACATACATATATTATGTATGTTATGTATATAATTACATACGTACTATAGACAATAATAATTTTCTATTCAACATTACACTTTCTTTATTCTTATATTATATTTTCTTATTTTTACATTCGTTTACTCTCTTATTTTTCTAAAGTTCTTTTTAAGATTTTCATCAGTATAGAATAAGCATTTCTTTATAATAAATATGTATATTATATTTATACTTACATACTAGCAAGTTATGTCTATTATTGCAATGATTATCAACATTTTTCTCATCATTATTTGAATTGAAAGAATAATGCAAGAAAATTAACTCTATCTCACTACGTGCATGTTTTTTTTTTAAATTAATTCTAATGGTGTCGTATACTTCCATAACAGTATTTTCATCAAATATAAGAAGCAATACTTGTACTATAGTCATAGTCATATAGGGGTTTTTAATGCAACTTTAGTTCTAATATTTTAACATATGCATAACAATATGATTAAAGTAAAAATAGTTAAAATTGAATAATAGTCATTATTGGTCGATCATTTTAATAAATACAATATACCGATGAAACTATAATGTGCTCTAACACATTATGGAAACAAATATTACTTAAATACAATTTTATTCAAAGCTTTGAATTTTTAGAGGAATTAATATTATTAGCAAATATTTTATTGCTGATTTTTACAAAACTATCGAATATAATTAAGCAAATTAAGAAAAACTTAAAAAAAAACAGAACCTTCAACAACGAATTTGTAAACGCGCACATCCACTGCTTCTACTACTGTAAACCATAAAGACCCCTTTTTATATAAAATAATTAATACAAGTTTTGATTTTAGGAATTTAAAAGTTTGTAATGTCAAATTTAGAATTTATTTTTTCTCTCTCCTTCTCTGAATTTCCTTTTGCTCTGTCTTTCTCATTTTCTCTATCTAGATTTCTTTTATGTTTATACTCTATTCTATAATAGCCTTAGTGTCTGTTAGGTTGAATTATACACGATACAAAAGCGATTTCGACCATTTCAAAGCGTCTTTTTAATTTTATACATTCTACAAATAATCTGAATGAAAAAGCCAACCTGTCTTTTCATAACCGAAAAAAATATTCATCTTTACAAACAATAAATTATTTATTTTACTGGACACAATTAAAAATTTAAACCAATTATTTATTATTTATGAACTACATATAAAACTTTTCCATATAATATAATATGCGTAACTCATGTGAACAAGAACCATGTAAAAATTTAATTTTCACTAAAAGCAACACTATTGTTTTAAATTAAAATTTCATTTTCATTCAAAAATATTTTGAAAATCAATCAACAGATGTGATTAGAAAGCATAAGACTTAAATCAACATTTTAATAAAATAACCAACAACTCTATAAAAATACAACATTTGAATTTTTGCTTTTATTTTCATTCACAATAAAAAAAACGCCAAAATGAAAAACATTAATTTATTTTTGAAAATTATGAAAAATTTTTAAAAACGAATATGTTGTAACACCACTGCTCCATTATATATCAGAAATTTTTAAACATGAAAATTGTAAAAAACTCAAAAAAATAAATTTGATCATGTGAACTGTCTGATACACATGCAAATTATTCCTAAAAGTTATAAACGTCTGACAACAGTTCAAACAGAGCGAATATCCAATTATATCAAAGTATTGGCCCTCCTCCCAAATTCTTTTACGCAAAATGTAAATACTATGAGCTAAAATTTCTAAGTAAGCTATACTTAAAAATGTATATATCCAAATTATTTTGGAAATTGTATGAAAAATATGGTAAGAACCTATATACAATAATATAATTTTTTCGAATTATTAGACCTGTTAGTGTCACTTACGCATAATTTTGTAACTCTGCGGTTTCTAGTTTCTAGGAAATAACTATATCATATTTAAAGTTGTATTGTATGACAACTACTTGAATCGAAATTCAATTAAATAAGATCCGTTTGATACAACAACTATTATGAGAGTAATTTGAAAAAATTTACTATTGTTTGGTAATACAACTATTATTAAAATTTTCGAAGCAATTGCCTTGCTCAAAGCCCTTTTGAATTATCGCTGGACAGATATAGCTCAATCGACTCGGAGTTCGATATTAAGCAAGAAAATGTAATATATTCCGATAAATCCGAACGTTTGGAACGAACTGTGAAATTTAAAATACTCTTCGAATATTCGTTATATGAAAATGAAGAGTAAATATAAAACAAAAATCCAATTGATTTGAAATTTCAAGAAAGAAAGAAAAATTTATGAAATCATCACTCCCACCCCGAACATTTTTTTTATTACTGACTGTCATAGTGTCATCTGTCATCTCATCTTGCTTTGCCATGTTTAAATCATAACTTTCCAACATTATTGTTGTTATTTATTTCTCCTTTTTCTGTACAAATTGTAGAGTAACGAGACAAAAACCACACCTGAAAACGTCGTTTATTTTACAAACGGCCGTGCCGCAAAATAACTATATATACATTTTTGTATAAGCATACATAAAAATATAAATGTAGGTACTTAATTTAAACAAAAAAGAAATAAATGACATTCTATTTCCTTCTTATTATTTTTTCCTTTCTCTATTTTACTTTTTCTACTCCACTATTTTGGTTTTGGCTTTTTTATTTTAATAACAAGTATGTATTGTTTATTTAAATTTCAGACAGCAGCCGGTGGTGAATTGAAGCGAGATGCGCGATGATTTATTGCGGCGATTCGATTTTATCACAAATAACAGGAACAGAACACAACTTTAAAAGAATAGAGTAAAATAAAAATACAAAAAAAATCAATTTGCATTAGTTGCACAGGAAAAAACACAAAAAATAGCAACAAAAACTTATATAACAAATTTATGAGTATACGCATATAAAAAACTTAAAATGATAATAAGGATTTGAAATGAGCCCATTTCCTTTGAAAATAAAAATCAAAACTAGTTTGTAATACCAGAATCGTCATTGTGCTGTCATTAAAGTGATGCCAAAATTTTTTGTCTCATGTACTTTTCAGTTACCAATTCGGTTAAGTAAGTATTCCACTGTTTACAATCGTTAATGAAACTATCTTTCGAAAATTTTTACATTTACATTTAAAATTAAATTACATTCTCTTTGATAATTTCTAAATTCATTTCAAACATGTCAACCGCTAAAATAGTGGGTAACAATTTCTAAAAAAAGCGTTTTTCCTTTATAATTTGCAAATTAACATTCTTTAAATATCGTATGTATGCATTTAAAAAGATACATTTCATCACCGCCATTGCTACATATACACATATTATGTACATATACTTATGTGTACACATACATAGTAGAATAATATGTCAGATATACAAATTGCTTATATTGCACTCATTTTTTAATTCAATTCGAAACAAGTAAGTACATATTTTAAATGAAAATTGAATTGACTGAGCATAAATTGATTACAGTCTTTATTACTTACTCTATTACAACATACATATATTATACATATGTTTAAATATACGTTGCATAAGATAATAGCAATCATCGGTTTCTGCTATAATAACAAGCAACTAAAATTTCACAGCATAAATTTCTATGTACTTGCTAAAACAACAATGATTTTATTATCATTAAATTTTTGCAGCGAAATATTGTTACGAATGAATAAACATGAATTATGGTGCATTCTAAGTGCACCTTATTTATTTATACGACTAGAGAACAAAAGAAAAGAAAAACAACAATTGATTTCAATGAGAAAATCTTTTTTTATGGTTAAAGACTGAAATTACTATTACTGTTCATATTTTTCAAGATTTCAAAGACAACAAAGCAATTTTACAAAAAAAAACATCGATACATATAGTTAGAGAGGGAATCTCACGTGATGAGGAAATTCTTTATAATTTGATTATATTTTTGTTCGTTACGAGAAAACTATTTTGTAAATAAAAAAAAAGAAAAGAAACACAGAAAAAGT